TATATGCTGCTTTCCACCATATATGTGATAGTCATCTTTTATTTACACAGTAAAAAAACAGGTTTGATCACTATGGTGTGTAAAAAAAAAAAAGAAAGGCTTCTAATAAATAATAACCGTGTGCTGTTCTTTTAAATACCAATTTTTGTCATTAAATAAATAAATAAACGATCCCTCATTTGTGCTGTATGAGAATCAATAAGGAATAATAAATATTTTAGTATTTTTTTACTGTTTATTTTGAGAAGATTTAGATTTTAACTTATTATTTGGACTTTTTTCACGATTTTCTATTTTTTTTTAGCTGGGCACCATTTAATTGCATTCTATTGAAAGAAAACAATCTTTCATATACTCTACGAAAGAGGTTTTTCAAATGACATGAAGATGATTAAATAAAAATATAATATAATTTTTATTTTTAAAAATATTATAATATTATTGAAAATATTAAATATTAGATAAACTTATTTTAACGAAAAAAAATGAAACAGAAGTCAGTAAATAATGACTCAGTCTCTGTATATAATGACTCTGGTTCAGTCACAAATCTCTCTCAAATCTATTGTATGATTCAGAAGACTTCAAATCTCATGCATGAATCATATTTTGATGACTTTGTTGTACTTTTATGGTGCTTTTTAACATTTTTGAGCCAGTCACTAATTACTTGTATTGTACATTATACTAAACTTCTCCTTTTTGTGCTCCTATCTCTAAGTAATAGAGATTATATACGAATGTAAAAAAAAAATCAATGGGATATATGAAATATCGGCTGTTCCTTTACATACAGGTTTGTTATAGAAATCAGTAAACTGAACATAATCCTCCATTAGTGGCATATAAAAATTCAACACTTTGCTAAACATCTTCTTTTTGTGCTCTATGAAGGTTATAGAGGGCTGAAATTACATTGAAAAATAATATTTTAGAAAAATATTAGCTACTACTTTAAATACTGTAATAAAAAAATAAACTGAACAAAATCCTCCATTAGTGGCATATGAGAATTGAACATTTTACTAAACATCTACTTTTTGTGCTCTATGAAGTTTATAGAGGTCTGAATTTACACAGAATAATAAATACATTAGAAAAATATTAGCTATTCCTTATAATAATGTAATAAAAACATTAAACTGAACACATTTGTTTATGAGAATTCAACATTCTGCTAAACATCTTAATTTTGTACTTCATAAAGGTTAAAGAGCTCTAAAATTACCAAAAAGAATAAAGATATTTTTTTAAAATATGAGCTGTTCCTTTAAATAATGTAATATAAAACAATAAACTGAACACAATCCTTCATTAGTGGCATATGAGAATTCAGCATTCTGCTAAACATCTTCTTTTTGTGCTCTATGAAGCTTATAGAGGTCTGGAGTTACGCAAAATAATGAATAAATTAGAAAAATATTAGCTGTTCCTTAAAATAATGTCATAGAAAATAATAAACTCCCTCATTTATGACAAATGAGAATTCAACATTCTGCTAAACATCTTCTTTTGTGCTCTGTGAAGGTTACAGAGGTCTGAAACTACATAAAATAATGAATAATTTAGAAAAATATTAGCTGTTCCTTAAAATAATGTCATAGAAAATAATAAATGCTTATTAATAGCAAATGAGAATTTAACATTCTGCTAAACGTCTACTTTTTTGCTCTATGAAGGTTACAGATGTCTAAAAATTACCCCCCCAAAAAAAGAATAAATTAGAAAAATATGAGCTGTTCCTTTAAATAATGCCCTAGAAAATAATAAACTGAACACAATCCTTCATTAATGGCAGATAAGAATTCAACATTCTGCTAAACATCTTCTTTTGGTTCTCTATGGAAGTAGACGCAGAAAAATCACAGGTGTTTAAATATTAGGTGCGCTGTCCCTTTAAACACCCCTTTAAAAATCACAGAAACGAACACAATCCCCCATTTGTGTCAACAGTCATGACCTTTGGAGAGCTTTTAACTTTGTCTATCAGAGAAAACAAACAATCTTACGTCACTCAGCAGGAGCTCACAAGTCATTTGAACCAGTTGCAATGCCATGTACACATTTAAAAGTAATATATAAACAGGAAATGAACATGTACAAGGGTATAGCTACATGTAAACATCATAAACAATATGACCAGTCAAGAGTACAGGAAATCATTTCACACATTTCCCAGAATCAACACAATTAAAGCTATAAAACTACAATAAATGTGTTGCCAAATATTATTATTTTCAAACATGTTATTGGTCGTGTTCACTGCTACATATTTAAGTGTGTTTTGTTGTGGCTTTCAGGTGATCATGTTTTCTTTTTAAAGTATTCTTAAAAATAAAAGATTAATAATTATGTTAGCAGATTTCCTGTTCCAGACTAAGCAGTAAAGATCAGCTTTGTCAGAAAGGTAGGTGTGTGTTTTCCTGAACTCTGCTGTTATTGAGTAACTTCAAGTGTTTTAAGTGCTCTCAAAACAGACTGTTAATATTTGACCCGCACG